ACTCATCAGGAGGTTCAACCCCGACAGTCTGTTGTCTCCCAGAGCGGAGGTGAGCAGAGGTGGAAAGGAGATGATGGGAGGAGGCAGACGGGGGGGGGGTGGAGGCCGAGGGGAGAGGGGGGGGGGGGGGGGGGGGGGGGGGGGGGGGGGGGGGAGGCGGGGGGGGGGGGGGGGGGGGGGGGAAGTTTTTTTTTTTTTTTTTTTTTTTTGAAAGGCGGGCAAAGGGATGGGGGATGTGCTGGCAGGGGAACGGAGGCCAGAGGAGAGGTGAGCGGAGGTGGAGGAGAAGTGGGCGAAGGTGGAGAGGAGATGGCAAGAGGAGGCGGTAGGGAGGTGGCAGAGGTGGACAGGAGATGGTGGGATGAGGCGAACGGGAGGTGGCAGAGGCGGAGAGGTGATGCGGGAGGAGATGACAGGGAGGAAAGCGAGAACGTGGAGAGAAGTGGGCGGAGGTAGAGAGGAGATGGCAGGAGGAGGCGGACAGGAGGAGGCGGAAGCGGAGAGGAGATGGCGGGCGGAGATGGCGGGAGGAGGCAGACGGGAGGAGGCGGATGGGAGGTGGCGGAGGTGAAGAGGTGATCGCGGGAGGAGATGGCGGGAGGAGGAGGATGGCAGGTGGCAGACACAGAGAGGAGATGGCGGGAGGAGGCGGACAGGAGGTGGCGGAGGCGGACAGGAGGTGGCGGAGGCGGAGAGGAGATGGAGGGAGGAAGCAGACATGAGGTGGCGGCCCTGCAACCGGCCAATGGCCAGCAGGTGCCGGGCCGATTCTTTTACGACAAGCCCTCTGTTTCAACGGGGGTGCCGGGGCGATTCTTTTACGACGGGCCCTCTGTTTCAACAGGTGTGACGATCCAGGCCGCCCGAGGTCCTACGGGGCCGATGGCTCGGATCGTACCGCGATCTTAAGACTTTAAGATCACGCAACAATCCAGGCCGTCCGGCAAGGAGGACGGCCTGGATCATCACCCAATTTTAAAGTCTTAAGTCTTAACATCGCGCGGAAATCCTGGACCGTCGGCCGGTAGGACCACGGGCGGCCCTGATCGCCCAATTCTTACGTTAGCGATTTCTATTAGTGTAGGGACAGTGGGCTCTTTCAAGTTTGGCAATTCGGAATCAGAACAGAAAAAGAAAAATCCTGTGTTCAAACTTCAAAATCTGAGCTGCAATTTTTTTCCAAGACACTGTCCCGGCACAGCAATGAGTATTCCGCTCCTGAGGTCCACATGACCAAGAGCTGACCTGTTTTAATAGTACACAGTGCTGGCAATATTTTCATGTGTCTTTTCTTTTCTTTTTTACTATACCATAGTGATCAGTTACGCAGGAATAAAGATGGGGTAGAGAGAAATGCAAGGAACATGAATATGGACGAAGCACAGAAATCCAGATTGCAAAATCACACTGAGGTCCAAGTAGTCAAAGCAAGAGCAGATAGCACAATGGAACCGAGTAACCATCCATTTGAGAACGATACAGAAGAATCGTGAGTCAATGTCCAAGC